GTAATAGTTGTATTATTAATCCAGAAAGGCTCCCCTTTACAAGAGATGTACATGAGTATTTATAAGTGTACTATTGTACAATTAATAGGACACTTAATTATTGTAATTAATGACTCTAATCATAGTAGGACTAGGGGTGGACTCGGGTCCGGGTCCGGGTCTAGGCCCGGGCGGGCCGGCGGTTCAGGAGTGGTGGACCCGAGACCGGCCCGGGTAACCACCGGGTCCGGGCCGAGCCCCGCCCATTATCAATTTTTTCCCCTCTTCCTAATTAACCCCCCTCCCACCCCCAACTCCCAAAACCACCCCAAATGGACCAAAATACTCAGCCCAACCCGAAAATTTAAAAAAAATTGAAAAAAAATAGTTTTGGCCCGAGCCCCGCCGGGTCGGGCCTTGTTTTGGGTGACTCGAGCCCGGACCGGAAAACCCATGGGTCGGGCCTACCCAGACCGGTCATTGACCGGGCCACCGGGTCGGGCCAGGCCGGAACGGGTGCTGGTCCCGGGCCGGTTCCAGGTCGGGCCACCCGGCCCGAGTCCATCCATAAGTAGGACTCTTGTAATGTGCCTGCTTGAACTCCTGTCTTTAATGTCTCCTTTGTGCTCATGACTCTTCTAAACCCTAGGAATATCTCGGTCTCACTAGAACTCCGCCCATGCTCGAGGTCTGCTGTCTAACCTGGCCTGGTTGTGAGTTCCAGTGACTCGTTCTTGAGCCTTAGGAAGAGTTCGACCTCCACGGGCAGACCACTGAGCCTGTCGCCTGCTGTCCAGGCCGGCTTAGGCATGACCAACCTCATAGTGGATTTGGATCTCCCTATTCAGGCCCGGCGGCTAATTATTATTAATCCCGTTGATGGGCTGATACCGTTGATGGGCTTTGCTTTGATTCAATCTTGGGTCATGGTAATGATCCATGGTACCATCACGAGCCCCCCCTACTCTCTTGAGCTGACCAGGCTCAACGAAAGAGAGTAATTTGATTCCTTTCTCATTCTTGAAATTCTTCATTCTTTGAGGCTGGCGTGGTGAGATGGAAAGGAGTAGAGTAGTGAATGCCTCGTAATGACTCCTCCAGAGGCTGAGGGTCATCACCTTTTGTCCACAATGGGGAGGTGCCTCGTTAAAAACCCCACTAGGAAAAACCGAGTGGGAAAAAATCCTAGTGAGGGAAAAAGTGTACACCAGATGCCCCCAATATGGGAAGAAACAAGTTAAATTGTATCTTTGAAAAATAGATTTTTGGACAACATTTGTGTCCATAATTCGCACGCGTACGCAAGTCGCGATTTTTCTTCTCCGTTTTCGGAATTTGATCGGCACCTCCCTGCGCGTGAAGAGAGCCTTTTCACCTAAGAATCTTAACTCCTTCAAAGAGGGTTCCCTTTATAAGGGGTGAAAATCCATTGGATTTTCCGGTGTGGGATAAATCCTGCTAGTAACCCATAATTTTCCCAGTTTTTTCATTTCAACGAGTGAACTTCGAGAATCAATTTCTCATTCACCCCGTTATCCGTTTTGAGTGTACCATATATCGAATTGTAGCCCTTAGCAAGGACAATCCGAAACCAGTTTGACCCGACCCAAATTGGAAGCGGACCTCACTCAAAATATTACCCTAGATTGACCATTTAATGCAATTTTAACACATTTTTCCAAGAATTGAATGCAGCACCATTCTTATCCTCTTCAAAGAATATCCTTCACAAGTTTGGGGCCGGGTAGGGAATTTCTAGTGGGAAACTTCAGTAGCCCACTCTGACATTTTTGACAATGTTTCGCACCGGGTTGTTGTGTCCAGAGAAGAGGTTGAGTAGATGCTCTCGAGGTGTCTTGCAGTATGAACACTAATGCCGGCTTGGGCAGCTACATAAATGTTTTTTGTCATCTTGTGTCCTATGTATTTGATCAAGAAGTGCTAAGTTTCAATATGGGATTTTCAATCTTCTTTTATTAAGTTGAAGATGATTGTCACATTTCTCTTATTTTCTATAACAAATACTTATAATCACTTATGTAAATTATAATACCTCCGTCCCGAAAAGGTTCATCATACTGATTTTTTGGGTCAGTGATGACAAACTTTGGAAAATGATTTTTATCATTATATTTGTATATAATTTATAAATTTTATACTTTAATGAAAATATTTTGAATAATGAACATTTTGACATAATATTCATACTTAAAATAATTTCGTATTAAAAAAATATCAATAATCAAAGTTGATTGTCATTGACCAGATTTACAGCCAATGGTTGCGTGCAGTATGGAAATGTTGCAGGGTCCAACCAAAATAAAAATATCAATTTTCTTTAAAGTGTTATAACTTTTTATCTATACTCCAATTTCTACAAAAAAAATATATAAAAAGGTAAAAATTTTACAATCTTTCGAATGAAATCAATATTGAATATATAAAGTTAAAAAGTGAAGTTTCAACTGCCACATATTTTCATCTCCCAACATTTTTCTTATATAGACCCAAATTTTCTTATAATATTTTTTCCCATCTTTCAGTTGTTTTTTAAAATAGGGTTGACGTAACAAAAATAAAAATAATCTCTAAATTTATTTTTTTTATATGAGAATGTTTAACTTTTAAAATCATAATTATTAGAAAGAATGAAAAAAATAATGTATAACAATAAAAGCAAGGCTTTGATTTAACAACTTTGCTTGTTAAATATATTGATGATTCTGAATTGCGTTTATTAGCCTAAAAGCATGGTTTACAAAGAGGCTTCTCACAACTTTAATAGTTTTTGTACACCATAAAAATAAATAATTCCAATTCCAAATATATAACTAAAATGAAAGTAGTGAACAAAACTTACACCATAAGTTACACCAAAAGTTACATCATAGTAACTATAAAACTTAAACTTAGTAACGTATAGTCATATTTTTAGTTATAATTTTTTATTAGTAATATTTTAGGAAAAAACTGCAAAGGAAACACTTCACACAATCACACTGCACTATCACTTCATTCATTCACATTAGTTTTATTCTTACACCATATATATAATTTTTTATTTTACTTGCAAAATTTGTGTATATTACACTCATTTTACAGAAAATATCCCAAATATGACTAAAACTATGACAAAAATAAAAATAGGATATTTTATGTTTTTATTCCAAAATAGGACCAAATTAGTCATATTGGAAACATACCTATTTTTCATCTCATTCTTACCCCTCCTTTAAATATGAGTAAAAGGTATTCAAAAGTCATAACTAAATATTTTAATTCATATAAACTCGTAAAAAATAATAAAAATTGTAGAAAATAATAAAAAAATTAATAAAATATTTATAAAATAAAATATCAATTTTTTTAAAAAAAATAATAAAAAATAGTAAAATTCCTTAAATAATTTCAAAAATTATGGATGCCTTTCCCATTGCCTATACTGCCTCCCTGCACCATCACATCTGACCGGTGTAAAAAATTCTTTTTTTTTTTCGAAAAATGCCTTTTTTTATGAAAATGCCAAAAAATGGCATATTACTTTTTGAGAATGCCAAAATTTTCATTGAATCTGCCATAAATATGACATTCCTAATGCATGTGGCATTTTCCCCCCGGTGAACGGAGGTGGTGGTGCTGGGGCGGCAGAGGCAGCGGTGTGTTTTTGTGATTTTATTTTTTTATTTTTTTAATTATGATTTTTTAAATATTTTTATCAATGTTTTAGAATTTTTTTACGAATTTTATTATTTTTATTATTTTATTATGAATTAAAACATTTCAATTACAACAAGGGTATATTTGTCCAACACACACATAATTAGTCCCATCAAAACATAATTTACTTTTTGATTTTATTTGTACAAACTGACCAATTTTTAGTTCTATTTTGATAATTAACCCTTCATTTTACCTACAGAATAGCATTATAAAATCAAAATTAGGACATATGGGTTATTTATATACTCCGTATTGTTTTTAATGTACTCCGTATTTCAAAGAAAATTAAGCAATTTGTATCATCGCAATACAGTGTAATTTCAATCAAGTTATTATTACTGTAATCTAAGTACTACGTAGGGGTGGGCAAGAAAAACCATAACCGACTAACCGTGATAAATAACCGCAAGATCGATACTTTTTTTTCTTAACCATACCGTGTTTTTAAAATCTAGCGGGATGGTTAACCAACCGATAGAAAATGCGGTTAACGGTACAATAACGGTTATGAAACTAAATACCGCCAGTTAACCGGCCGATAACTCAAAATTAATACGTAGTATATTACTACAGAATTCATATATTATTGTTCATTCCCGTTTAAGAAATCCAATGTGAATTCCTAAAACTTTTTGGTAAGTGCGTATTGTACGTAATAGGAGCTTTATTCAACATGAACTACAGATCGATTTGCAAACCGCAAATACTGTATTGCAATTTAAATTTATTATTTAATTTTACGTTCGAACTCTAGATTACAATTTCATTTTAAGTTCAAAATTGAATTATTCATGGATTAGTCAAACCAGAATTAAGAATCATAGAGGCAATTTTCTCAACTTTGGAAATGCATATTTCAAATCAATTTTTTTAAAGTTATATAATACGTAGTATGTATTACAGCACATCTGTGTACGAGCATAAATTATACTACGTACGTATTGTACTACTGCTCCAAGTCATCATTTTAGAAACAATAATAGTGAGATAGTATGTTGTCTCCTTTAAAAGTAATTTGCAAATTGCAATCCTTATACTACTATGGCCAATAATTGGTTAACCTATATTATGGTCAGGGCCGTCTAATGAATTTGGAGACCCCGGTTCCAAATGAAAAATTGAGGCCCCTTAAAGTAACAAAATTACAAATTTGAACAATGAAATACATGTAGACTAGACGTTTCAATGATATATAAGTTTTATGATGTTTAAAATGCACAAATTAGAGAATCTAAAAATTATATGCTTTTTGAATTCTTGAATAATACAAAACATCTATAAAAATAAACTTATAACTATACGGAGTATTACATTATAAATTTTTGGATGCCTCCTACATGAGTGGGCTCAGATGGCAAACACTTACTGCACCTCCTAAAAGACGACCTGATTGTGGTTAATTGTTTACCCAGTTAACCGTCCTTACGGTAAGATTAATGGTTTTATAGATATAGATGGTATCCCATATCTCGTTTAACCGGTTAACTGAAATACACTTAACCAAGGGTACCACTCCTAGTACTACGTAGAATATATCACGTGAAAGGCACAGCAGATTTGAATTGAACGCCGAGTGATGACGCCAAAACCGGGAAAGCCAGCGAGCGAGGAATCGTGGCCTACTACGCCGCTCCTTTCCGTTAGATTATCTCTCTACTTTTTCGTGCAACGAAGTCGTGGCCCAGAGTTTGTTGAATTTGATTTTTGAGAGGGAAAGAATGAATTAAACACAGAGTGATAATGCTTAAATGAACAGAACAAGGAAAGAATGAAAGAACAAAAACGATTACAAGCTTTAGCCTTAGGGAATAGGCCTTCCATTTGATTCCTTCTCTTTCAGTAATGTTATCCCAATGCATTTCTTGTAAGTCTTCCTTCCTCATTTCCCGATTTCTGTTCCTTAAACTGCCCTTGTTTCTAGTACCCAAATTTTCAGGTCATTCAACTTCCATTGTTTGTTCAACTACTTTTTGTTCTACTGGCGATTTTCCATTGACTTAAAATGGTGTTTTTTTGCATTCTTTTTCCTTTAAAGCAAAAGTCTACCTTATGCTGCTTTTACATACCTTTTATGCGATCCTGATTGTACCGTAGCTACTAGATGCTAAAATTGCTCATCTCTTTTGCTTATATGCAGTGTGTTTTCCCTCTTTGTTTGAGGCCCCCCCTTTTCTTGCCATTTATTGCTTTGGTTATTGCACCTCCCAATACTTTGAACTGATTGAGCACTGTGGGGTTACATTGAAGCTCCTTTAAGCAAATTTTACTTTCCATGGACTATACTATTTGTTTATTGAGAAGGACTTGGTCTATAGAAGAGACTGTGTATTATAGTATTTTTTGTTATTCTGAGAAAACTTCCCTCTTTATTGCCCCATCAACCCTTGCTAGATCACTACACTTTTGTTCCGTTTTTTTCATTTTTTCTTCTTCTTTTTGTGCACAACTATCGATTTCTTATCACGCTTGGTTCTTCCTGTCACTTATCCGGACCAGCCCAACCCACTCAATCAGGAACTGTCACCAAATTCATCAGTTTGTTGTGATGCACACATGGAATCTAGAGTCCTCTAACAAAATCTTGAATGTTTGAGACTCTCCTGCTAATACCCGTTTTTTTGATGCATAAGTGATTGTAAGGACTAAGGAGCAAAAGAGAAAAACTAGAAAAAAAACAATATGCATGCACGAAAACTTGGAAAAATTAAAGCCTGGGGGAAAATGAGATGACCTAATACTCGTGATACCAAAAATGGATAAGTTTCTTATTGTAATTGCTGATGAGTCTTCTTACAAAAATGAGTTTTTCCAAATTTGAACTACCTGGTTCCATCTTTCATAGATTGTGTAGGCTGTTTCAAAACAGTATCATGTGCTTTTATGTCTTTTTAGTTTTTATGGCTATAAAATATAATTATTCAGCTCTTCATTCATTGGCAGGCTTTAATGCTGTCTTTCTTGTATATTCATGTTTGTACTTCTTGATCAAGTTTCATATACGTGGGTTTGCTTTCATTGTAGTAGATATTTTTCTTCTTATAGCTGTTTTTAAGTATTCACATCAAAATTGTCATATAACACTCTTTGCTATGCAGGAAGAGTTGATTGTGACCTAATTCATAGCACATGATAAGGACAAGTTTTCCCATTGAGAATTGATTTTTAAGTGTAGGTTTTCTTCACAAAAAGTAAACAACCTCTTGAAAACCCACTATTTGAATATTATCTACTTTGTGTTGGATTGAAGAATGGGAGACCATTTTGTATTACTGGTAGACCGGTTGCTCACTGAATCCACGCTAGAAGCTGCTATACAGTGTGGAAACTCATTGCAGGATCCTTCAAGCCCTTTTCGAGATAAGAGAACTGATTTTAGTTCCCATAGGATGGACTTTAATGTAAATTCATCTCCAGCAGAATTAGTACAGTGTAGGATTTGCCATGAGGAAGATGAAGACTCTAACATGGACATACCCTGCTCTTGCCTTGGAAGCCTCAAGGTTTGTTGTGATATTCCTCAAATCATTTGATTCTACAAAAACATGACATTGTTTGAAAATTTCAATAGCGAAACATGAGAATATATGATTAAACTAATTAATTCACATCAGGGTATTAACATTCGATTTTGTTTAATTCTATGACCTAATTTAATTTTTGTCTGAAGTCTTTAGTTTCTCTTTATTCTCTCTTTTATAAGGAAATTAAATTTCTAAAATGCACACTGCTAGGCGTACAGGATCATATCCTTAGTTCTTATGTCTAACTTTGAATCATAACCATTTATTATTATATACAATTACAACTTGTAAGTAATTAAATTTTAAAATGCAAACTATCATATGGAAAAGTAATACTGAGTATGAGTTTTCATAATTAATTATCGATGTTATTGCATACTGACTTTAAAGTCTATTTATTAAATAAATTTATGGTGGAGGGAGTATAACTATGATGCCTCCCAGACAGTGGGTCAAGCTATCCAAGTTAAGGGTCTGTCCTTGGCTCCTTGCTCCACTGACTGCCTCACTTGCAAAGCCAAGAGGGTGCCATCGGGTTTGTGTTCAAACTCTTTTCCTTTCTAGAAGCTGTAATTGAGATTATAAGGATGGCTGTCCATCCTGCCTTAATTAGAGCTTCTTAAAAGAACGTAAAATTGTCTTGTTTGTTCGTTTCGTATTGTTGGAATGTGAAATTATATTAAAGATATTGTTTATCCATTTTGTAGGAAAATGGAATATAAAAAAGCAACTTAGCAATACTTATAAACCTAAGATAATCAGATTACACTAACATTGCCTCACCACTTAAGTGGCATTACTATGATATTGCCATGGCAATACGATAACTGGGATAAGGTAATATACCACTATCAGACTTGCATTACACAAGTAATGTGAGATAAGTATTTATCAAACACCTTAAAATAATGACCTTCAAAATAAAGAATTGTCTATATCTTTGTATATACATTTACATAGGAATAGGACACAAATATCAGTAATAGGAGCATAGAAAAGCATCATGACTTCGAAAATAAAACTATTGATTCTTCATAGCACACTTAGTATATGATCATTGCACTCTTGAAACTGTGGAAATGATCATCTGCATGGTTTTTTATTAATAAAATGACCATATTTTGTGGATTTAGGCACATGGATATCTTTATGCTAGTAGATCAGAACTTACTCTTAATGTGTTTTTTCTCCTATGCAGTATGCTCACCATGAATGTGTTCAAAAGTGGTGTAATGAGAAGGGTGACAATATCTGTGAAATTTGCTGCCAGGTCCGTTTGTGTATTGCATACTTTGGCACAACTGCACTTTATCTTAGTATTTTGTTAGTTGTTTTACATTTGGCATTAATTTTTCTTAACTTACATTTTCTTAGCATTTTGTTAGTTGTTTTTCATATATTTCATAATTCATAATTAGAACGGAGTCACTCAACTGACTTATGAAAATTGAATCTTATTGATTAACTGGTCTAACACAAGGCCTTATAAAGCTGAGTTCCTCTATCTTTTGATGTGGGTCTATTAACTTCCTCAACCTTTCCTTGCTATGTCTGTTGCAAAAGATCGGTCCTAATTTTTTTTCTTTGAACATGGATGTGGATTTGAAGCAATACAAGCCAAGTTATACTGCTCCGCCGCCTGTGCTGTATTATGGTGGGATCCCGTTGCACTTGAGGTACATATATATTTCGCTGATGTTTGTCTGTATGTGCAGGGAGAGTATAAGAATTTGTGTTTGGCTGGGCTGAAGAATTGGTGTGGGCTAAATGAAAAAAATAATGTTTTTGTTAAAAAATTTAAGAAAAATGTTGCTCTAAGCTTCAGCCTGCCATAGCTCTATTGTAGATCCGCCCTTGTGTGTTGCATTGTGATTGGATGCCAAGAAGGCTTTTCTGTTTTTAAGTTCTAACATATTGGTGTCTCAATCATTTGGTTACCTTAAACAGGGGTTTCAGAGGACATTGGGAGATTTCAAGAGAAGAACTCAGCAATCCTGAATTGTCTACAATGGTTCCTACAGATCCCTACAATTTTATAGACCAACAAGATTCAGATGAGTATTCAGAACATGCTACTCAAAGCTTGATATGTTGTCGATTCGTTGCTATAATTGTAAGATCTCTCTCTCTCTCTCTCTCTATATATATATATATATATATATATATATATATATATATCCATGTTGGGTGCTTGAGCTCAATTTCGATGCTCCAAAGCACTCAGATTCCATTTTTACTTTTTGTTTCATTTAGGTTATGTTTGGAACTTAAAAGGGCAAGGAAAAGGGAAAATATGTATGAGAAATCAGTATCTTTTTTTATTTTAGTGCGTGGTTTCGCGAAGGAAAATTAAATTTGACAAAAATGGTTGTTTTTGCATATGTTTACATTCCTTCGGACAAACTGAGATGTTAAACTAAAATGAGTTTGAACAGATACCTATAATTAGTTTTTAGGGTGTGAACCAACTTTATAAATTACCCCAAGATTTCTTCCCTATCAAACTTTCCTTCTGTTTTCCTCACATTTCTTTCTTTAGCATTTCATGTGTTCCAAACAGATTCTAAGTAGGGTTCTTTTCCCATTATTTCAAGGAATCTGACCAAACTTTCTGAAGTCAAAGGGGTAATCCATTTTATGTTGTACATGCAGTTTACAGTTCTTCTGATGTTTCGTCATACTCTACCAATTTTCATCAGTGTTGTAGGAGATGACTCTATGCCATTGCTTGAAGTAAGTTCTGCATGGCTTTGATCTTTGGAAAGAACATTATGACAATTGATGAAAAAGGATGCATCAAAATTTTGCAGGTACTTATGCTGAGTATTGGGATCGTGTTGCCAATATACATAATGGTGAAGGCTTTTATTGCAATCAGGCACAGAAGACGACAACATCAGGTCTGCCATTGTATTCTTATGCAATTATTAGGCACAGTTTGGTGTTTTATTTCTTTCTGTTTTTGGCCTTCGTTTTTTTAATTAAAAGCAAAGTTCTGAAAACCAGAAAGAGCTGTTTTCTGTTCTTTTGTCAATTTTCAAAAGCAAAAAGATTACTATAAGTTTAATCCTTTTTTAGCTCATATTATAACATATGCGGAGTATAATATACCTTTTCAAATCCTAAAACAAAAACAAAAACTGAAAACTTACAGCCATGCCGAACGAGCCCTAGTAAATGATAACATAATTTGGATTCATTTGGTTGTCGGAATTGGATTACAAATCATGTTTCAGAGTGATGTGATATAACCCAATCCTCGGAAATCACTCAAAACTCATGGCGTCCTTTGGATTGGCGTGTGAATGTGTGATTCTCGATAATTTTCCTTCTTTTCAAGAATAGGGTGTGATGCCATATTTAGATTCAGAAAACCTGGCAATCAAGGAATTCCTTTTTGCAGTCAATTCCTTAAATTGAGAGTGTTACTTGCCTCCAACACACAAGGTGTTGAGTTACTCTCGTCATTGCAGACATGATTTTATCTTATTCCCATGGGTTGAGTTTACATTAGTTCAATTCCATAAAAATAAATCAGTTCAAATGAGGCCTATTATGAGACACCGTGATCTGAGTTGAGCTTAAGGAAGTTCATCAAAGAATTCCCCAACCTCTTAGCTTTTCAAATCCAAACATGATAATCTCACCTAATTTCCTTGAAAAAGAAATTTCGCTGGAATCAATCCTGTTGAAGTTATGTTTAATTCAAAGAGAGATTGTTATGCTGAGCTTTTGTGACGAGGTTTTTTGTAGGATGTCCGAAGCAGCTCCGACAATGCAATGACAAACGTACCAACCCAACTGCAGCAGCCTCTGCCACATCTCATACATATTCATTGACTACAACCATCTTAAAATTCTGCTTTGCCAAGTGAATTTAAAGCCTTTGTTTGAGGCAATGTACATATCTAAACGTTGTACAGACTCCTTTTTCTTTACTAGCATTAAAGTGAACTAATGATATTCTTAATAGAATATTAACTTGAGGAGTCTAATGACATATGCCTTTGTATAACCACACTGCTCCAAATACTTAGTCTCACTTCTCGAGAGTGCAGTTTTTGACAAGGGAAAAATACGTCATAAGAACTCCCAAAAGTATGATTGGGTAATGTTTATTTCCGGCCATATGAGTAAGGAGCGTAAATTCCAAAACCAAGGGTGACCGTAACAGTTCCGACAATGCAATGACAAATGAACCGCCACAACTGCGACGTTCCCTGCTACATCTTGTACATACTAATTGACGGCAACCACCTTAAGATTCTGCTTTGACATTGAATTTAAAGCCTTTGTTTAAGGCAATGTATGTATCTAACTGTGGCACAGACTCAAAGAGGGTATATACCCTATTTCCTTGCGAGCACTAAAGTGAATTAATGATATTTATATTTTATAATATTAAAAATTGAGGAGTGTAATGATACATGTATTTCTCACACTTCGCCTAATGCTTTGTCTCACATCTCACTTTCTCAGGAGGGTGCAATTTCCATAAGGTCGTTGCCCAAAACTTTAATACAGTAACATGGTTTAGAAATTAGAATAGGTCTTAAAAGGCATGCCAATTGAATAGTGAAACATGAAAATATAAGAATGATACTCCGTATATAATAGGCAGGCATTGCTCTGACCCCATTCACATTTGTTTTTTCTCAGTGTAAGCCAAGCTATCTTTATCTAAAAGATCGTATCTCTTACTACCTCCATCCCATAAAATTCTTCCCACTTTGACTTGCCACGGAGATTAAGAAAGTGGAATAAAGTAGAAATGTATGGTTGTGGTTGTGTAAGAAAAAAGTGAAATGAATGTGAACCACACAAATTGTACGAAAATGGTAAGTGGGAAGAATTTTTTTGGGACGACCCAAAAAGAAAAGTGGAAAGAATTTTATGGGACGGGGGTATTTATTTCTTGTAGCCCCTTTGCCCAAGAGTTTATTTTCATTTAAATCATTTTCCTATACTGTGTTCACTTGTATGTACTCTCCTTGTCTGTTAAAGAATGCTCATCTTTGGGATTTGGATGTACAATCACCCTAATATGTTCTGTGATCATACTATTACAATATCACAGAATGTTATTTGGTGGAGAATGTTTTTTGTGGAGAGAGTACAGACCCAGGGGGGTTACCGCCCCCAACAAGAATTTTTTTAGTGTATATATATATGAAAAATAATTTTCTCCCTCCGAAAAAATATTTTGAACCCCCAAAAAATATTTTCGCCCCCCCCCCCCCCCAAGATGATTTTCCTGGGTCTGCCCCTGACTGGGATGGGCCTACTCGGTCCAGACCACCAATGTGCAGGCCCGACCCGGCCTGGTTGACCGGGACCGGTACTAGGCCCGGGATCCGATCCAGTAGAAGAAATAGGTGGGCATCGGGCTCCTATTTTGGTGGAATGGTCTAGGCCCAAAACAATTTTTTTTTAATTTTTTTCCCATTGGGCTGGCTGCTAGGTGGGTGGGGCTGGCGGTTTGGGGGGTTTGGGGGGTAGGATGTAGGGGGGGGGGGGGAGGTTGGAATTAATTCGAAAAAATAAAATTTAAAAAGACAAAATTAAGGCCCGACCCGGCCCCGGTACAAACTCGGGCCGGTATCAGGCCTGATGTTTCTGGGCCCGGAGCTAGCCCAATCCCGGCCCAGTCCACCCCTAGAGAGAGGGTTCTTTTGAAATGATTTTAAGAAATGATTTTGATGATTCAATTTTGTTGTTAAAAGTTGTATTTGAATGGTTGATATTAATTTAATTGAAATGCTCCGTACTTTTAAAGTAGAACCAAAACAGTTCTAGCAACTAGAAAGCTCAATAACTAGGCATGGCCATTCTCAAGGAAACAAAACCAACTATAAAGCACAACTAAAACCACGTACGGAGTAATAACAAAACAACCAATTTTACTAAAACTAATGTAACCTATGATGGTAAATGACTGCTTATATTCTATAATGATACTAAAAACTCATATACTGCTTATACTAAAAATTAATATCAACCATTCAATTATACGAAGTATGCTATTGACAGAATCAAACGTATGCTTAACTTAAAAGCAAAAGAGCAGAATTGGATTTTGGAGGAAGTCATTATCAAGAACCTTTTCGATAGCACTTCTTCCCGTCCCATAAAATTGTTACGCCGAGTACTTAATAATAATATACGGAGTAATATCATTTTATGTAAGAACTTTTGACAACCTAAACGGCAATAAATTATTGGGATAAGGCTCAAATTAGACACTATGGTTTCACCAGAATCTCATATTGGACATTAAAGTTTCAAATTGACCAAATTAGACATTATGGTTTCATATGTATCTCATATTGGACACTAAAGTTTCATAATTCAATATAAGTGAGTGTCCAATTTGATCTTTATCCAATCTAAGTGAGTGTCCAAAAACTATGAATTATGAAACTTTAGTGTCCAATATGAGATATATATGAAACCATAGTGTCTAATTTGGTCCATTTGAAACCTTAGTGTCCAATATGAGATTCTGATGAAACCATAGTGTCCAATTTGAGCCTTATCCCTAAATTATTCTTACAGAGAAACATATTCCTGCGAATGGAGAAATCTTCCTGAAACCTAGAAGCTCATTATAGACATTTTCTAAAAGTACAAAAACGAATGCATTCCATTGATTGGAGTGAGGTTGGTGGCAAGTTTTTTTTGTTGGGATTAGAATGTTAGATTGGTTTGGTTCAATAAATCCATTACGATAAGTCCTAACTGAGCCGGAATTGAACCGAGTATTACTAGTGCAGAGTCTGCCATTCCTCCCCCAATACTTTGGCCAGGACGCAGTTAACAAAATGTTACAATTTCACCGAGTAAAGACTTACGCATATCTCATGGCCATGATAGCAATAGGTCAACAACAAAGAGACATTATAAAGCAAGACATAACTCGAGGGAAAAATCCAAATCATTACATAAAAAAAAAACCAAGTACATGTCCAGCCCAAACAAAAACACTTGAAACAAAATAAGGAAAAACGGTGGAGGTATAGTTTCTAGGTAAAAAGTGTAATTGGATGGCTTCGCCTTTGATGATCTATTTGGATGAAGGGCTATGCATGTGTTTGGAGAAGAGGCTTTGAGGGATTCTGTCTATATCTAAGAAATAATCACAACCCTCGAGTCAATGCAAATCCATCCATCCAAACAGAGCCAAAATGATATAACTCTGAGAGATATCACTCAAAGGATAGTTTTGTCCTTCCACCACATCTACCTAAAACTTTAGGTGAACCAACCCTGCAGGTATAATTTAAAACAAAAAATGAAATAAGAGTTGCCCGAATCAAACAGGGATAAAACAGGAAACATATATTATATAGAATACGCAACACTTCATTCATCATTCCTCCTCAGATTCAGACTCCGCACTTTGAAGCCAGTCAACAAAGGGTTTAGCATTCTTCCAGAGTTGAGAATCCATGCCCTCCTCCTTAAGTCCCTCATTATACCACTTGACAATATTTTCTTCCTCCAGAATATCAGAATCATACAATGCTTTCAAAACCAAAGCGACTTCCTTGACAGCACAAGAGGTTGATTTTCCACAGAATTCTCCAATTGCATTAAGCAAAAATAGTTGTGAGCCGTTATTCTGAGATACAGCAACTGCAAGATAACTCCTCTTTTTCTCAATCACCTTTGCATACCCTTTCTCGACACCATCCAATAGGGATTCATACAGGGCATTCATGATTTCCTGAGGAGTGCCAGAAAGTGACTGCAAGAGAGATGAGAACTGGCTAGCAGTGATGCCTTTCTTCATGTTTTCCTTCAACTCCTCAACAAGCTTCTCATGTCCCTTGTTGACTTTCTTTAACTTTTTCTTCTCTGTGGTCTCATCATTTGTGGAAAGTATGACCATGTTGGCAGTTACACAAGTTAGCTGCTCCTGGATGCGTTGTCGTGCAGCCTCCATTGATGTGTCAGTTTGCCACATCACACCATCATCATCATCATCATCATCAACAACAACATGGTTACTAGGGAATTTTTTAGGGCTAGTTTTTGCAGAAGAAGCATCTCTTGAATTGGAAGGAACCTTTTTCTTTGATTCCTTCTTAAGCTTCTCATCAGCAGCCTCACCTTCCTTTATCCTCTCCTTCTCAGCCCTCCTCAACAACTTCTTATCCTTCGAACTTTTTTTGGCTTCAGGTGGGTTCTTGAGGATAAAAGAAGTGAGCTTATCCCTCATGTCCACGTCAGAGATGAAACCACAGGCAGCACATTTCAGTTGGACCATCTGCGATTTAGTTATTAAGACCTCTGTTTCGGGGTTTCTACACCCATAGCACTGGACATACTTCTTGATGAAGTTTTCAAGCAGAGCAGCAAGCTTTGCAGTGTCGTGGGCCCCATTGACTAATGAAATTCCTGTTTTTTCATCAAATTTTGATTGTGCTCCAAGTTCACAACCAAAATATTTCGTGGTGTAGGATGCTGGCCTAGCCAAAGCCTTTGCGATGTCAACCATGTTGACAACATTAGTCTTGATACCATTCCCACGGCCTTCTGTCTTGGTGATCATCCTCGGCATCTTGTACCTGTAGAAGGCATCATCTTTGTTGCTTGCTCCTATATTTTGCAGAGCCATGTTCACAAAGTTCGTAGTTTTATGAGAGGTAGTAGTTGGGATTTGATGAGGTGAAGCCTTCAAGCAGGTTGTCAGCAAAAAATGATTCAGGTATGCAATGCTCCTGAAATGGTATGAGATGTATGCATTCAATTTGATCAGAGAAATGAGGGTTCCTTTTTCTTGACTTGGGGCAATCTTCTTCGAGCGGCCCTATTGTACCAAAATAGAGAATGGCTTGTTCAGACATAAAAAATAAACAAAGCTCCAGCTTCAACACACTGCAATGCTACGATTCGACCAAATGCAGACAGAGCCTGCAAAGTTTTATTACAAAAGTAGAACGTTAATACACAGAAAGCATAAAATATTTCTCTGAAAAATATAAACTGATTAACATAGACAGGTTTTAAATATGGCATCAATCTTGTCTTGATCTTAATATCCCTCCTATTAAGATTACTATGTTTTGGGTTTCAGAGACAAATATATCATATATGTTCCCAATGGAAGAAATTTATCCAACATGCCAGTTTACGTCACATACACAAGAATAGAATTTATGTCAGATAGGATAAAAAGCAGGCATTTAAGGTATGACGTAGTATAAGGGAAAAAATCTTTGAATGCCAACTAATGTTTTGATGAAGTCTCTTATTTGATGGTTTGATATAAGTTTTTTATGGATTAAAAATGCCTAGTTTTGTAGTCATTTTTAATTATACATTCAAATAGTTGGTATTGGATTTCTAAAGTTTGTGTTATTATTTGTCGGAGGATGACAGTTGGTATTACTTAACCCCCCATACTGTAAATTTGGCATTACTTAATTCT